GGGAATTTTTTTTTTTTATTTTTTTTTTTTTTTTTTTTTTTTTTTTTTTGGGGGGGGGGGGGGAGGTTGTGTTTTGTTGGTTTTTTTTTTGGTAATATCTCTTATGAAAAAATATGTAAAATAAAATATTGTGTAGATATCATCTAAAATTGCTTTATAGCTTATCATGGACATACAGTAAGCTGGCAGAGCTAAAGTGAGAAGTCGGTTATCAAATACTAAAATCTAACCGCTTACAAATCTAAACTTGGCAAATATCACTAGTTGCTGTCCCATCGGGTATCGTTAAGATTTCCTGTCTTTAATAGGGCATGAAATGTGTTTCTTTTTTCTAAAGTGTACCATTAAATATGCTGTACTGGGATTGTCCCAGTCAAATAATGTGTTGTTCTGTAACTAGATAAATAATTGTTTTTGTTGTTCTCCATATTTCAATATTTTTCTTCAACGTCAACAACAGGCTTTCTTCCTAAAATATTAAAAAATACCAGCTAGTATAATAAAAAAAAAATTAGTGTTGATTATCTTAGCCCAGTGGTTCTTAACCTGGGTTCCATCTAACCCCAGGGGATCGGTGAGTCAGTCTCAGGGGTTCGGCGGAGGTCTCCAAAAAAAATCAGGAAAAAAAATCATATTTTATTTTTCCTACTAAGAAGGGTTCGGTGAATGCGCATATGAAACTGTTGGGGTTCAGTACTTCCAAGAGGGTTAAGAACCACTGTCTTAGCCAACCACCAGATCGCACTGTCTAGCTTGGAGAGTATGGAGCCGTATACAAAGTGAAACTGTGGTGGCGATCGGGCCTTACCAACAGATAGCGTAGAAGTAGAAAGGTAATAGAAATTAACACACATGTGCTGATATTGTGAGCCAGTGGAGAGATTGTACACTTGTGGCAGCTATTGTACACTTGTGTATAGATTGTACACTAGTGAAGCGATTGTGCACAAGTGAATATATTGTATACTAGCGTAGAGATTGTAGTCTAGTGGCAGAGAGTGTACATAAGTGGCAAAGATAACAATTGTACACTAGTAGCAGAGATTGTAAAAAAAATGTGGCAGAGGTTGTAATTGTACACTAGTAGCAGATACTGTACAATAGTCACAGAGATTGTAATTGAAAAATAGTGCAAAGATTGTACACAAGTGCAATGATTGTACTCCGGTGGAAGATATTGTACACTAATGGAAGAGATTAAAACTAGTGGAGAAATCGTGGAGAGATTGCAGTGTAATAAATCTTTAGGTGGTGTGCAAAGTTTTTTTTTAAATTAAATATGAAGAAGGTTTTTAAGAGACTATTATAAATAGGATGTCCACAGTCCACAATACTGATACCCTTTGTAACAGCTGGACTTATTGACTTGCACAGGTTTGACTTAAGCATTGAAAGAGATTTGATTATTGAATTTTACAGGTAAAAATTCACAGGTGTATTTCAATTTTTGTACATTTTGTCTGACATTAAACTCTATGTTACTTGTCCATTTGTTGGTGATTTTTTTGTTGTTGACTAGTCTCCTTTATACGTAACATAGTTTAAATAGCTATCATCACAGCATCACCCGTGAAAGAACTAAAGACCCACTCTACAAAATCAAGCAGGTGTATTTAAAAACAACAGTAAGTCTAACGATTTATTTGCTGCAATACTGGCTTGGGACTTGTCTTTGAAAGTTCCCAAAAAAAAACATTTTCAGTTTTTGCTTCCAATGCACAACACAAGGACAAAGCTAAATGCAGAAGAGAGGCAAGAGAAACCATGTTCACAGAGACATGAATGGTAGTAGAGAGTATATATATAAAAAGTATATATCTAAATAGTATATATCTGACTGAATAGGTTTATAATAATTAGAGCATTTAAAAAGTTCAAACCTTTATAACAACAGAAATAGACTGGACATAAAACTAGGTTAGAAAGATTTAAAACTAGGTTATTATAAGGATTTAAAACTAGATAAGAAGGACCTAAAACTAGGTTAAAAAGATTCAAAACTAGCTTAGAAAAATTTAAAACTAGGCCAGAATGATTCTATTTAGTTGAAAGTTGAAAGTCTCATCTGGTCCAACTTTATGGATAACGAAATGTCAAGGAAATAAGCAATAACATGTGCATTTTAAATTATAAGCATGAAATGTGGAAAACCTAAATATTAGCATTGAAAGTGATGAATGTCATGTTGCTGACCACAGCTATTTAGTGGTCTACATAACAGTGTTGATTGTTCTTGTTTTGTTTTGTTTTTTTAATGCATCATTGAAGATAAGCAAACTGTTAATAAAGAGAGCAACGGAATATCTGCATAATTTTTACTGGGTTCTACACAAGGGAGATGAATTCAGAAAGAAAATGTGCATATATAATTGGTGAACAGAAGTTATTTTAATATAGATATTTGGTGATAAAATAGATGAGTAAATATAGATATTTGGTGAATGGAAGATAATTTAGTATAGATATTTGGTGAACAGGAGATAATTTAGTTCATATATTTTATGAATTAGAAGATAATTTAGTGTAGATATTTGGCGAATGAAAGATAATTTAGTATAGATATTTGGCGAATGAAAGATAGTTTAGTATATATATTTGATGATCCAGCTACACCAGAGGTGGACTGGGGAGTTCAAGCGGCCCGGGAAAAATCAAAGCGGACCGGGAAAAAAACAAAAAGTGGCCCTATCTTCATGACTTTTATTTTTATTATATCACCGGTCCTAGCGGCCCATCGGGAATCTTCCCCGGTGTCCCGGCGGCCCAGTCCACCCCTGAGGTACACACATAAACACATAGAGTGCTACTCACAGGTCGCCTGATGTTGATATCTTGTTGTGGTGTTGTATGGCCTCTACAACATATTCTTCCAGGTGGCTAACTGACTGCTCACTGGTTGAACACATAAAAACATAAAAAACCACATTACAAGTCCCATCGATAAAGGATCAAAGAAATATTTTTTTCAAACTTGTTTTTTTTTAAATATATCTTTGAATACGAGAGAGTTTCCACTGAGATGAGTTTGAGTATTTTAAAATAAAACCCATGATGTCTGGGATGAGTTTTTAGTAGATTTAAAATAATCCACTTATGTCTGTAAACTAAGTAAAGTGAAGTTTTGAAACACCAAAGTCCTGAAAGTCTACACAAAATCTCTTCTTTAAGAAAGAAATATATATATATTATATTATATGTATACTCCCAGGTACTATTAATCCCAAATTTTAATAAAGAAATATTAATAATATTAATCTAATAAATTACATAGAAGCCCCAGGACCCACATAAATCATGTGCACCCCATTTGACACACAATGACTAAAACTACACCTTTCCTATATATTTAAAGTTAATTCATGTGGAGGGTCTGATTCACATCATTAAGAACTAAATAATGTGGAACTATGTGCAAATGTAGCTTAAAACCCTTTTGTTTTCTCCCCCTAACAAATCAGCTTTTCAAAATTTCTGACTGAAGTGTTAACTGTAAAGAAATAAAACTGTTAAAATGCAGAGAATAATTCTTTGTTTACTCCATTACATCATTAAACAAAGCCTTCTTTTCAATTGACAAACTCATTGCAGAATCTCAGTTTAGTATATAACCCACACTTGGACCCTTCCTCAGTTAAAGCTTATGACTGGCTGGCACAGGTGAAATTAACCCCTATGATTAAAAAACAAAAAATAGGACATGGCCTTGTACATTGCCTGACTTATAAGTATTACAGATTTGTAAAATAATAAGCTCAGAAACTTGCTGAAAACGTACTTCTTTGCTACAGTAAGGCAGATGATCCGACCTCTGTTTTTCACACTCTCTCCTCTCTCCAGCCTATCCTGTTGTTGATATGTGGGCTCACGCAGACAGTCGATGGCGCAAGACAGACCGTGTAGAACTGAATACTCATTATCATCTTTCTTGCCTTTCGGTGGCCCCACGTGGGCAAGTTTTGTTATAACAGTCTGGGGTACACAAACATGGTAAACATAAATGTAATTGGCCTGGAGTGTTTTTTTAAGGTTGTCATATCTTTAAAAAGTTGTTACACTTATAATAACTTATACATCAAAATAAAAATTTTAAAACTCACTAGCGCTTATTTAATATTTTATTTCTTTCTATGCAATCATAAACATCAACATCTATCCTCAAGTCCAGTGCAAATATCTCAAATCCCAGGCCCGACATAAACATCAACATCCATTCCCAAGTCCAGAATAAATATCTCAAAACCCCAGGCTCCACAAAAACAAACAAAAACATCAGCTTACATTGATAGTGTCGGCACAGTTCCATGGATTAAGTGCAGCGCTACTTGTGACAACTCTGATCTTAACAAAAAAATTTTTTTAATTATTGGTCAATAGGGAAAATATATATTTGTAAATGAAATTAGACAGAATTCCATTCATAGCTCATTAGTTCAATTTATACTTAACAAAATGTCTCTTTTCAAGTATTAAAAATGACAACTTGCAACTAACGCACATATTCTGTTGAGGGTTTGAGATTACTTTCTTACAACCCTGGCTAGCGCATTGGCAATCAGCTCCATCTGCTCAGCTGTGCCATATAACATTTTCCTCACATAGGACTCCCCCACCACCCTAGCCTCCCCTGAGAAACATCTAGTGACTGGCATTCGGTCAACAGATGTGCTAGAGTTTCCGGGACCAGGCTGTAATGCCGGTAGGAAGGCTCCCTGTTATGGTATAGCCTACTGAAGTATCTGCCGATGGTACAGTGCTCGGTACGCAACTTGTAATTAAATTTTCCAATAAGTATTCATTTATATTATTCCATTGTGAAATACAATACAAGAAGAATGATAATCAAGAAGTTTTTTTTTTACAAGTTTTAAAAAGCTTTTAAATGACCAGACATCTTCTTTATCTGTTTAATTAAAAATTTATTAAAGTGAAGTCCACATAAAAAGTTGTCTCCTCATGAAAAGTGGTTACCAATTTATACATTTTGGGAATTAGATGGAGTTGGGTTTTTTTTGTAAGTTAAATAAAATTATCACTCTTCTTTTCACAACATGACTTACCTGTCTATCCTTAGGATATATGTCAAAAACAATCCTAAGATATTCTTGGAGTCCCTCTACATTACAAGTCCAAAGGGATTTGGTGATGGGGGCAGCTGGGATAACCCCTGATCCCTTGGATTTTAGTACATCATATTCGATAGGTTGGTTGCATGACTGGGCAAAATAAGAACTGTGGTCAAGCACAAATATTGTTTTGTGCGACAATGGAAATGTCATGACCAAGGATTTAAATCAGTTGTCACCTGTAAAGATATGATCATTTTTTGTGTAAGACTAGTAGCATGTTACACAGGAAAAATATTAATATGGAGTGCTTATTTAAATGTGTGGTACGACCAGAATTAAACTCTCCTGCATTACAACAAATATTGCGGGCCGCCTTCGGTGTTTCGCGCCCTGGCCTTGAGTATCATGCACTTTGTGGTTCTATACATATGAGGTTTTGATAGCCTTTATATACTGTTTCCTGGTTTATTGACTGAGGCTTATTATTATGCTACCACTAATAAATTAAGTATTGAGCTTTTAAAAATGTTTACTATAATTAATTATGCTAATTTATAGATTAACTGTAGGTAATTAAATATATTTCACAATTTATCACAATAAAAGAGATTGTTAAGCTTTTGCAGTGTAACCTCAGGTTATGAGTAACCTAGGATATGAGAAAATCGGGATACAAGTATAAATTTTTTAATAAATTTGTATTGGTTCATGAGTGATGTATCGGAATGCGAACAAAATTTGTGCACCATATGGCATTTTCCGTGGAGTGTGAATGAAGCTGTCACACAATGTGCAGACAACACACTCACGCTGTGCCCATATGCCACATGTCTCCAACACACCAGCCTCAGAAGTAGGGTGCAAGTTAATTTGTTAATTATTTTCATTTGTTTATTGACAACAACATATTTTATTCATTTCTGATGTTAGGGGTAATAATTTGTAGAATAATTACCATTACGAAGCCATTAAAAATTAGTTTATAAGTGTATATATAGATGTGTGGAACACATGTGAATTTTCTTTATTTCTTATGAGAAAAATTGTTCTAGGATATGAGCATTTTATGTTGCCACCTCATTCCTAGAACAAATTAAACACCTAACCCAAGGCACTGCTGTCAGTATTTATCATTATAACCAGTTGACATATAAGTTAACAGCCTCCCCCATGCCATTGTATAAAAATTGATATCACACAACTAAACAAGCTCCTTGTGGGGAGAAATAGATTTAGAAACGCACAATAGCCAAAATATCTTGCAACTAATTGGATAAATCCTAAAAAAAAATAGCAAAGATGCTTTAAAAACAAGCCACTACAATTTTACATCCAAAATACATAAACAACATCTTAAAAAATATACTATTAAAATATACTCCTAAGGCAATTGCAAAAATATCTGACATCTCTTATGAAAAAAAGGAGAACTACTATGCATTTTTTTTTCCTTAAATAAAATATGACACAAAGTCATCCATTACCCTATAAAATAATTGTTTATTGTTTCTTAATGGTTTTTTTACATGTCAAATTTGTTTTTGATCAAAATTATTTGCTACATATAAGATCTAACATTTTCTAGAGTTTGCAGTTTGGCACCAGGATTTCTCAACTGGGATCCATCTTGATTTTTATTATATTATATAAAAAATTTCCCTGGAAATATTAATTTAAAGGATTAAAATGCTCCTTTTTTTTCAGCAAGTCAAATATTACAAAAATTTTTGTTGCTATAAGTATAAGGACTCTGTAAAATCTTGTCAAATGCACCTTTTAATTTATTAAGCTTGGTAGCTCTAACTCTAACTACTAACTCTAGTGCACAGGTTCTAAAGCATTTTTAAGTTGCCACCACATTTATTTAGAAGCTAATTGACCCATAACGGCAATACATTGAAAAAAGCCTATATGATACATGTGCACCCAGGTCCCTTTGCCTTTAGACTAAATGCTACCCGGATGTCATTTGTGGTAGTTTATTTTAGTTAAACTGAAGAAGAAATTTTAAAAACATATCATATTCATATAGTCAATAGAGTCCATTCAATTATCTTTCATTTGATACCAAATTTTATCCTATTCCTACAAACCCTACAATAATTTTTAATATTTTTTAATAAACCCAACCACTCTCTCTTGAAACCCGGGTCCGAATAGCCGCATAAAGCTAGAAAGATGAAATTGATGTGTTTTTACAAAGTAAAAAGTCTACAAAACTTAATATAACTACTATGCAGCATAGTATTATATTATATAGTATTGTATATATATAGTATAGTATTATATAGTATAGGCATAGGCTTATATTCAAGCGCTCATTATTTTTTTACTTACTAGCCTACTAGGCGTGGTGTAAATCAACTTTAAGTTTAACGTGTAACAGTAACAGTACAGTTTACAGTGTAGTCTGTTAGAACTAGTACTACTAACTACTACTTAAAATACTTTAACTTAACGAATACTCCTCTTTTACTTTTACTTACCAGTGAATACCAGGAAAAACAAAGTTGTATAGATGAATAATTCCAATATTTTTTAAATGGTATAATTTACAATAAAAATTTACGTTTATACAGACATATCATTGACATTACACCTACGCTAGAAATATCTATTTACACAGACAGATTAAGTAGTCTTTTTAGCAGCAGTGTTGTTAAAATTCTGATGGGCGCTGACATGTTGCATCTCCGGTGAAAATGTTGTTTTCTTTGAAAATTATTCATACGCATACCATACAATTATTCTGGGTAAGTTTATTATTTTTACCCTTTTTTAGATTATTCTCAAAGTGTATAAATTGGCATACTCAATGAAAATAAACAACAACTTAAAAATAAAGATATAATTTATAAATTGCCTTTTTTAAATTCTTTAATTGGATTTGAACTATCAAGATGTATAATTAATATTGACCACGTAATTAATGACGTAATTGCCTTCTTACAAAATTTTATTTTACTGTTCATGTTTGTTATTTTCATAAGTTTTCGCTGGCAATACATAATAATAACATAATAACATGAATATCGGAAACACTTACGTTTTTTAAAGACTTTCTATTTCGTGTCATTTCTACATTGTCTTGTGTGCTGAGCCAGGCTCTTTTATTGTCGTGTCTTTCTATTTTAGCTCCACACATGGGCGCCCGCAGGGGGGGCAAGGGGGCAGTGGCGTAGCGAGGGTGTTTGGCGCCCGGGGACAATATTCGCGCCCGGGGACAAGATCCATTTTAGCGCCTCTTTTCCTTTTTTTCAACTCTGAAACCCATTATTTTCATCAATAAAATAATATTAAAGCACATTTTGGCGCCCCTAACTAGCTGGCACCCGGGGACATCTGTCCCCCCTGCCCCCACCACGCTATGCCTCTGCAAGGGGGCACTTGCCCCCCCCCCCCGATTCATTGGGTTAAAAAAACTAAGACAAAAAAAAACAAAAAAAATATAAAAGAAAAGAAAAAAAAAACCCCCCCCCCGGATTGATTGGATTAAAAAAATTAAGACAAAAATAGACAAAAAATGTATAAAAGTAAAGAGAAAATAAAGAGAAAGTAACTAAGGTGATGCTGATCTCGTTTTACTGTGTCCTGTCCGTTCGTTCACCATACAAATACGCTACAGTAAATTAAAACTACATAAAAACATTACAAAAAATTTTTTGCCCCCCTAGAAAGTTTTCTGTGGGCGCCCATGCCTCCACATACCTTGTTCTTCTATTTCCTCCACTTAGCTTGAACGAAGTCCTTCATTTATTCGCCAGTGAAGGCCGTTTTCCGACACATTCATTGTTTTATTGGGTTTTTACTTACTTCTTTCATTACTATATTACAAGATTGCATCATCCCCATATGACAGAATTATACAGTAATTTGAATAAGTATTTCTATCTTGGTCACATATTGATTTGGATTTTGGAACACATTTGTTAACTGCTCTCCCCATTCCCAAAATATGGTTATTAAAGCGCCAGTAAAGATAGTCACTTCGTTTTAAAATTAGCAGGCAATTGTAACGATAGGCAACTATTGGTATTTTATTTTATATTGTAGGCTTATATTTAATAAAATAAAGAATAATTAATTTCTGAAACAAAAATTTTATTCATTTAAAAGAAACCAAATTGTGCTTCGTTTTATTATTTTTTCCATTAAATTTTGTTTTTAATTTAACATATAACAATTACTTGTCTGCACTTTTAATTAATATTTCTTGGGTGACTTGGGAAGTGAATTCCATAACAACACAATAGCGTTAAAATGGCGGATGTCCATGAAAAACGGTCGTCAAAACTTCGAAGTAGTGAAGCGAATGATTATCTTCTAAAGCATCGTATCACAGATCTTTTCAATAATATGACTGCACAACTAATTTATGCAAGACCAGGTTTGTCTTAACAAAAAAAAAAAGAGTTTATCTTCTGCTCATGGCGTGGGTATCCTATTTTAATTTTTAATCAATTAAAATATAAATTATTGTATAGTAAATCATACTATAAGTGACATGGTATGAAATGACAAGAAAATGATAATAATTATATGTCTGTTCTTCTATCTGTCTCAGAAAAATTCAAATTAATTACTTTTACTTTTAAAGTTTTTATGTTGTTTTAAGTTTTCATTTTCATGGTTTTTAGATTTGTTCCATTAAGTTTTGTATTTTGGCTCTAAAGATTGTATCTAGTACTAGTAGTGTTTCTGTGTACATGTTTGTTAAATTTTGAGTTTAACCTACACTGCCTTATTTTGTTGTCTAATATAATGTTTATATTCTGCCAACAGTCGTAGTCTGAATTACGTGTTGGTTTTTATTAATTGTTTTTGGAATAGTGTTTAAGGAAATTGATTTATTATCTATATCAACAGCTGGTTTATGGTTAGTTTTAGGGTGGATTTAATTGTTTGATTATTTTGCATTCCATAAATAAGTGTCACCCTGTTTCTATTATTATATTACGTCCACAGAGGAGACATCTCAGTCTGTGAATTGAATGGTGTCCAAGTTTTTCTGAACTCATTGTCATGCTATAAATGAGTCAGAAAGTTTTTTCCCTTGCATTCAGTTCTATTTCTTATATGTGCAGGTTTTTAGGGGTCATCCGTAAAAGACGTCCACACAAAAGGGGGGAGGGGGGTTCAGCAAAAAGTGGACTAAAGTGGACATAGTGGGGGAGGGGGTTTAGGACAAAGTGGATGTCCACATTGTAGTGTTTTTTTTTAGTGCAGCAGTTTTGCATAAATTTACTGCTAATTTACTCCCCGATCACAGTTACAGTAGCATGCCTTTTGATCCCTATTGTCCATCGGTGGCTGGAAGAATTTCCAAGAGAATATGTTTCTGCTGTACATATTTCCCATCACAGGCGGCAATGAAAAATCATAAGGTCGTCCATTGCAATATTCCTGCTAGTGAACATAATATGGCAGACGAATCAGACGAAGAGACTGCCACTCAAATTGAATTAGCAATTGAAGACTCAAGAAAAGATGTTGTCATTATACAAAACATGTTTGAACGGCTGCAGTCCGAATTTTCCGTTGATTGAAGAATGGTGGATTATTTGTTTATTACATTTTTTAATACAGTGATTCAATAAAATGTTTTTGAACAGTTATTATTTCATTTAGAATTTTGCCTGCAAATAATTGGAATTTCTAAAAAAAATCTTTGTAAATACATACTCTTTATATTGTTGTACATTTTCCCAAAATATTCGTTAATTTAAGTTCGGTAAATTTTATGTTTTGGACGTC